ATGTCATCTTGTAACCAACCACTCATACTTTGTGAAGCTCGACACGGTGCCACACGTATTCTATCATCCCATGCAAATACCAGTTCCTCTTTTCTTCTGCAAAGACGCTGCTCACAAAAGTTATCATTATGTCCAAGCCCTCCACACAGGAAGCAGAAGACTGAGATTCGTTCATAGCGGAATAAAAAAAGCAAAGCCTCACTGCTCGGTGTAAAGAGCCTCTTTGAGGGGTTGTCACATGTCCACCAACACCCTAATTCTCATAAAACTTTGATGAGCCAATAATAGCACCTGATAGTGTTATTTTTATAGTATTTTTAATACACTTTTTATTAAGATTTTTTTGCATCCTTTATTCATTTAAAATAGTTTTTATTCAATTTTATTATGTTTTTATTTAAAAGTTTTCTTGAAACACAACTCACATGATCTCGAGAAAATTGTAGGGTTTTTGCACAAGAAAAGGACAAAATTAATTTTAGCACGCCCGTGCGAAGAACCAAGGAAAATAAGCAAAGAGGCAGACTCTGGCATGCCCAAGAAGTGCCGATCCGCACACCCGTGCTACGCATGCCCTATACTTCCAGAGCCTAGCACGCCCTGACCATGCTAGGGCACACGCCCGTGCCACTGGGGAGAAGGCAATCCAGACCGTGCCCGTTGAAGCACGCTCGTGCTACTAATGCAATAGGACTTCCAGAGCCTAGCACGCCCAGACCGTGCCCGTTGAAGCACACCCGTGCTACTAATGCAATAGGACTTCCAGAGCCTAGCACGCCCAGACCGTGCTGTGGCGCACGGCGGTGCCAACAGACCCCCCTCAAGGGTGCTGAATAGCACGGCCCATGCTGAGTCCTCTAGACTTCCAGAGCCTGGCACGCCCAGATCGTGCTACATGGCACGCCCATGCCAAAAGGCTAAAAGTTGATCCGAGTCAAAGATTGCCAACCAATTCCTACCATTTTCACAGCTCACTTTGGATACTTTCTTCACATGCAAATTAAGCTTTAACATATACACATGGAAAGTCATGATTGAGAGAAATTTATGGGTTGATTTAGAGCTTTATCACCTAACAAAGTTGGACTTTATTCATTAAACCATGTAGATTCCTCTCCTAAGAAGTCTATATAAAGATGAGAAGAAGCCATCCCAAGTATCCCATCTCTTGTCCATCTCTTCTCCCATCTCTCATATTTTAGTTTTGTATATAGTTTCATTTTCTTTAGAAGTTAAGTATTTAAGAGTTGTGCATTCTCTCTCGCCTAAATATATATATCCGTCTCATTATAGCGCTCCTATTGACTCTCTTTAAAGTTAGTAACTTTAAGACTTGTCTGCGTTCAGAGTCGTAAGTCATACCAAAGCCAATTGAATCTCTCTCTCTCTCTACGTGGATCATATAATGCATCTCTGTCACTCTCTCTCTGCACTGCTGAGTGGTGCTTTATGTACGTTATATATATCCATCTGAATCATCACTTCTCTCTGAGTCTTTATTTTAAGCATGTATGGTTCTATAACTATATAAAACTGCTATATCCTCTTCTTCTCTCAGATGTTAACTTAATCTCTTTTCCAATTTATGCTATTAGATTTATTTGCTCTCTTATCAGTTTATGATTTATTTGATAAAACTTAAATGCTTCCAGTAGAGGTTTATCCCTGGATTGATTTATTCATTTTATCACTATCGGAAGAATTTCATTTATCACTATCGGAAGAAGGATTTTTGATATGAAAAAGTTAATGAATCACATAAGAATAATAACTTGATGCGGAAGCTATATGGTTGGACTCATGGGGGGTTTTCATGAATTAACAACTTTAATTTATGAATTCATAAACAAACTATAAAACTTAATGATTTGATTCAGATTTAATTATGCTACTGGAAGATAGGTAGTTAAGTAGAATTAAAATAGCGAACAATACATCGGAAGAGCTTGTTAGTGATTTCTAGTTGTTTTCCCTACTTGAATAATTAAATTGACTAATAAACTAATGAAATAACTTAGATAGAATTAAGTGAAATCAAAAGCCCTAGTAGTTTCAATTCCTTGATCAATTTTTGCTTACTTAATTTTTGTTTATTTTACTTATTAAGTTTACATTCTTGAATCAATTCTCTTAATTGTAGTTTAAATAATAATAGGATAACATAATTTTAGTACTTGGTATACAATATTTTAGTACTTGGTATACAATTCCTGTGGATACGATACTCTACTTATCATATATTACTTGTGGCGATTTCGTACATTTGCGAAAAGCACTGTCAGCACCTTAGTATCGTACTCCATCAAATGACCAATAAAGTCTCCAAGAAGACATGCCATTTGTTAATGCATGAACCCAACAAGAATATCATGCACTTGGACCTAAAGGGAACATGCGTTAAAGGAACAGTTAGGGGATCTTCTCCTTGTTGTAACTGGTGTAATATTAACAGGTGTTTATTAAAGTGCGACAGGGAACCCATCATAACTCTATCAAGATTAACTCTATTAAAAAACAGAACAAGAACCGCTTAGCCCCAAGATATGAAATCCCCACTTCGCCAATGGGGTGTCATAGGTCTGCAAAAAGGTTTTACATAGTAGGGAAATTAATGGAGTTAGGGTGTGAAATATAACCATTAGGCAGTATTCATAAGGGTGTTTTGAAATCGAGCCAATGACATCAACCTTATATCCATCCTCCTCCTCTTTAAGCAAAGCAAGGCCCTCCATCGATTGCTCCATAGATGCAAGGCGCAATAGAACAATAGCGTAGAAGGTGGCTAGGATTAGGGTTTAGAGAGAAAAACTCATGCTAACAAAAGCATATCGAAAGCTAATTTTCTAACTCTTTTATTTACTAGTTCAATTATTATGTTTCTAGAGAAAAGATATGTTCGATTTTTTATTGAGGTTTATTATCTACTCGAAAATGGTCAAATTATGTGGTTGACTATTTATTTTATTTAAAACATTATAAATATAATATTTATTTTTAATTATTTGCTAAAACTATTATTATGGTGAAATTTAATTATTATAATATCTTTTATTTAATTATTTAATAATTTTAATCCACAAAAATATTTTAATAAATTGTTTTATGTAATCTTTAATCACTATATATTTAATTAAATTCTGCTACAACCTTAGTTGATACTTTAACTCCTTAACCTTTGGTTTCACTTGGTCGACATAACCCATCAAAATAATTTTAAATTTTTAAAAATTAAGCAAGGTCTAATCACCAATTAAGTGTAGTGTAGTTGGTCCATTGGACCTCTCTAATTATTAAAATAAAACATTAAAATAATCAATCAAAACTTGGTGATAATTATATTAAAAAAATAAAAATCCTCCTACTTTAGAATGTAAAATTCTTTTCAGACTATATACTCATCATAGTTAATTTTATAATTGTCAAATAGTTATATGTATATATATATATATATATTTATTGTATATATATATTATATATATAGAGAGAGAGAGAGAGAGAGAGAAAGAGAGTAGTAACTAAAGAGAGAGAGAGAGAGAGAGAGAGAGTAGTAACTAACCTGCTTGAATTGATACAATTGATTAAATATATAAAAATTATAAAAAATGGTTAAAAATAAAAAATTCTTTGACAATTAGAAAAATAGAAAGCCAATCAAAGAGAGAATCTGAACTTTTTCTATGCTTTGGGTTTAATGAATATATAATAGATGAGAATATAGAAAGACCATTTCTGCTTAAACATTCTCTTTGCTTTTGTCTAAGGATTTACTGGAACACTATGAAATTATCTGAGAAAGATAGTATATAAGAGTATGCTTTGTAATAATAAGAAGATCACCTGATCTTAAAGAGAGCAGAAACTGTCTGCACCTTAATTGCATAACTGGGAAGAAAAACATGATTTCTGAAACTTCCTCTAATATCTGAGAGCTATCAACTTATTCACTCATTTGTTTCTCTGCTTATATATATATATATAAGATACATAGATAGATAGATAGATAAGAGTTTCTCTTCATCAGTTCACATCCAACTCAGAAAGAATTCCATATTCCATGAAATTATGATGTTCCTATGAAATATATGCTCCACTGCCTAAACCTTGAGAATTACAGAGTAGTTATAACAACAGCCATAAACCCAAATAGCTTAGAAAACAACTTAAAGCTATTCATTCTTGCAGTTTCCATAAATCAGAGTGCATAGGCCCGAAAATAATAATTAAATTGTAGTTTGCAGATGCTTAGTTACAAATGGTGTCTGCGGAACTCTAAGCTCTTTAACAGAAAGATCGTAAGAAATGCAAATCATATGAAAATATTCACTGTTCTGATCTCTCTGTAAGTATCAGCTCTCCAAGATCACTTGGAGCGACAAGTGAAAGGCAGGAAAAACAGAAAAAAAAAAATCAGAAATAAGAAATTGAATAACACAGAAAGATATCAGAGGACAAGCTTGCTTTGTTTTTACTATTTATAATAGCTGGATTATGAGTATGATTGTCATAGATTTGCAGCTTAAGTTCTCAGACAACCCGATTATAATCTACAATACAATGTTTGGCCTTCTCAGAAACCTGAAAGATTCAAGTAACATTTTATAGAGCATAAGAAACTATTCTACGTTGTGCTTTCCCTGAGAATATACTAGATCTAAAATTTCTTAATTAAAGATTCATTTGTTTATCAAAAAATGAAAATTAAACTATATCAAAACAATCATCAGCGAATCCTCAACAAAATCTGAATACAGTTACAAGTACTTGGATGATTATGCATGTCCCTTACCATCTAAATAGGACATCATATCCTTTATTTCATGGCATAAAATCCTAAGCATGGTTTTAAATATCGGCAATTACGCAGAGTACTGCAACTTTAATACACTAACACTTCCAATACCAGAATTTTCCTAATTAAGTTCATAGAGAGCCAACCGTGACAGTTACATTTTAGCAGTGATACACTTACATGCCTATGCGTAACCGTGACCCACATGATATACCAGAAATGTAATCACTTGATTGCTCATTAACCCAAGAGTTTACACCAAAGGATCCAAACAAAAGGTATTAGTGAGGCAATAAATAACAGTAAGCAGCAAATGGCATCCACAATGTGGGGAAAAAAATATCCTAAATTTCACTCTGCCAATTGCAAAAGCTGATGAATTCTATACATCTTAAATCAAGGATCATTTGTTAAACAAAGAGAAACTAGAATTCCATGGAAACAAGGTTAGTGACTTGGTGTTGAAACAAATTTTTTAAGAGAAAAACTTCACTCTTCTTTGTCATGCACAAAATCCTCAATTACCTACCAATATCAAAAATTTAGGGTTGAGCCTCCTCCTTCCAAATTCCAGAGTAGGCAGATAAAAGAAATCTCTTTGCATAATTGCATATGCCATATAACAAAGAAAGCCTTAAAGGTTTATGAAACTCTCACTGTTGTAGCCAATGCACTTCTTATATCAGAAGCCTTAAAATCATTCAAGTTCTGCTCCATTTCAGAATCTCCATAATCATATAAAGAATAATCTCCCAATTCAAGCAATGCAGAATCATCCTCCCTCAATAGTAAAGCATTATGAAGAATTGAACATGCCCCAATTAAAGCAACTGCATTCTTAAGCTCCTCTTGGATCGGCTTACACAAAACACCCCAATTTTTCAAGCTAGCAACTGTTCTTAGTGCAGAGACACCCATTAAACTATTTGCCCTGTTGAATTTGTCTTCAAATGATTCTTGCACAGGATTTACAAACGGTACCATTAACCAGGGCAGTAAAGGATATTTTCTGCCTCCAATTAAGTATTGATTTATAGGCACTCCATCGATAATAATTGGGTTTGTATTCAATAGCCTTCCTCCTTCAATATCTTTATACAATGTAGTTGATTTAAGGATCGTGGAAGTACAGTTGTTGCCACGAAATCCAGCTGCAATACTCAAAATTCTCGATGATGAATCCACAACTATTTGAACAGCAATAATTGATAGACTTGAATCAGCTTCTTTAACAAACTCGAATCTTGCACAATCTATTACACCACAACAATTTGGCAATCCAGTAAGAGTTTCAAAATCTTTGGACACTGTTTGGAGCTCAACAGGGGAAGGAAATGCAACCCAGAAGCGAAAATTGGTGCATAACACACGGCATAATTGCTTTGCACAAAACCGAGTCACTGACTCGGAAACCCCAAATCGATCAGCTATTTCGGAGTAATTTGACCCGGTGGATAATCTAAAGAGGCCGATACCTAGTCGGAGCTCAGCAGAGAGGTTAAGCGGCGACCCAATTGGGTCACGGCATTCTAGCAACGGTTCAAGCAAGCCAGATAGCCATTCAAAGGTTGAAGAGCTCATTTTGAAAAAGGTTTTAAACGAGTCAAGATTTCGAATGACTCGGTCCAACTCACTGAGTCGAGACCCATGTTGGTGGTTTCTGTTTCCGTGGGTCGACTCAGAATCCAGTTCTGAAAGATGGATTCTCTTCCTCTTCCTGGAAGTAGTGAAGAGAGAGAGGGAAGCGGCAATTTCCTGGGAGGAGAGAAGATAATGGATAAGAGGGAAAAGATTTGCATAGGAATTAGAACTGGAATTACTGAAATTGGAATCATTGGAATTGGGGACAAGAGAGAGAGAAGTGGAGGAAGGGAAGAGAAGTATAAGAAGGAGGAGTAATTCAGAAATGAGAGAAGAAAGCAGAGCTGCCAATTTCTTGGATACCATTTCTTCCAGACTGTCAGGGAATCGGATCGTAGTTTTCTCGGGAATCGAGGAGTGTCAGAGAGTTCTGAATTTCGAATCTGGTAAAAAGGACGAAATCAGGTACACCTGGTCTCTTTTTGGGGCACGTGACCGCATTGGTGCGTTGCGTGATTGCGTCCATTTGCAATAGTTAATCGTGATACGAAAAAGCCGTCATTTCGGTAAATATTTTTCCTAATCAGCTTTATATTTCTCTCATTTTTATGGCTTCTATTACAATACAGAACGGTTATTTTTCTAACAGTTATTTTCTGTATTAATAAAAAAAACCATCTAAGTCTCACGTGTGAAGCGCACTTGCTGCAACAAGTTGAGTGTGGGCTAAGCTAACCATTTTTTTTTCTTTTTTTTTTTTTTTTTTTCAACAAAGTTGAGTGTGGGCTAAGCTAACCATTTTTTTTTTTTTTTTTTTTTTTTTTTTTTTGTTTTCAAAAAAGAAAACATACAATCCGTTAGATTCTGATTCAAAAATTAAAAATACAGAAAATTAGTTGTTGATTCTTTGAATTAGAGAATCATTATTTTAGATATTTTTTTCAAAAAATAACAAATTTCTATACTTCTTTGCCTATTAATCTCTTTATATTTCTAAAATTGACGAAATCAGCATTCTCTGTCAATAGCTTCAACACAATAATCAATCTATTGAGAGTTGGATTTCAACTGCAATAGAAGATTTAGGTCTCTCTTTGATTTGAATGCGCTCGAAAATGAAGGCCAGCTAGTATCCTCTTCTTCTATGGATCCAATTGATCCAAGATATACTCCATTTTCAATTCTTTGCCAAATGTTAACGCATCTCTACTGAACTGATCTTATATTATTTAAAACAAACTGTGATTTAAAGAGAAAAATAAAAATATACATTTTTTTAATTCATCTGTATAGCCGTTAATCGGTTGCCCATTTATAATTTAATCCAATTGTTATTATTAGAAATTGAAAATTTGACTGTGTAAACCTTTATTGATACAGAAAATAACCATTTTGTTTTATAGTCTTGCCCCATTTTTATAGACTACTATTTAAGAAGATGCGGAACGTTTGTTTATATTTGTTGTCCTAATCTAATTTTTTTAAAGAACTAGCTTTGTACGTTATTTACACCCATATTGATATTTGCGATTTATTATCTTTTAATCATAAATTTAAATTTAAATTTAAATATGAGAAATTATGATTAAATTTCAATATTAATTATTAATAATAATATTTATTTTTTTATTTTAATATTGAGATATAGTTTGTTTTAATTTTTAATATTAAATATAAATATTAGATATCAGCATAATAATTGAGCTCAAATACTAGACATTTAATGTCATAATTTAATTGTAATATTAGAATTACAGTCGAGTAAAAAAATAATTTAAAAAAAAATAACAAAATAAAAAAGTGAATATTAATACGAAAGCAAGAAGTATTCGACGTGTTCGACGTATCCTTTATAGCAAATCAAAATTCTAAATTTTATGGTGATTTTTTTATCAAGAAGTAAATAAATTAATAGCGAAATATGAAAAGATAAAACGTCTACAATAGGATTCTAATTCATAAATAAGAAAAAATTTCCTATTAAAATTTATAATATATACTTAATTTAATATTAATGAAACATAATTGTAATTTTTTTTTGAAATATAATGTTAATTTTGTATCACATTTATTAAAATCTGTAATATATATAATATCAATATCTATCATTTAAGTTGTATTTGATTTTACAATTGTCAAAATTTATTCTTTATGGTTATCAAGACTTTTATGTTAATAATAATATAATATAATTATATATTAGTATTGTATATAATATTATTTTTATATATGTCACGTTCGAAACCATGGGGCACTAGGGCCCAGATAAGCTTAAGACCCCTGAGCGCCGTAGTAAGCCTAATTTTAAAAAAAAATTCAATTATATCAATGTAAATTCTAAGTATTAAGCCTATAATGCCATGCGAAAATAAACCTCATATTTATATTATAATTCAGACCCAAATTATAACATCTTAAACATTTACAAATTAATCCAGCTTATAGTACACCACATTTATAATATGGGCTCACAGAATTATTTTATCTATAGTAATACACGACTAAAGGTATATAAATCCTACAACTGCGGAGTTCACTATTTGATAAATATAATTATATTCTTGTCCATATAGTTATATAGCAATTTAATTACTGAAACTAGGAAAATTTTCGTTCTAGCTCTGCGATAAAAAGGTACAAAGCTTAGACCGAAATGAAGAGAAACCTACTACCTGAAAAGTTAAATAAGTCATGCGAGTTTTATAAGAAATAATAATCATTGCACAACACACGCATTCACACAAAGGTGTAAATATATCATTCTAGTCATCCGACTAGTTATATGCTCACACAGACAGTCACACGAATGGCATAACATCAGCACTCAGCACTCACAATTATTCACAAACTTCACATAATCACATTACGTGGAAATTGGTCTGTGGCGTTCATCGAACCCCATGAGGCCGTCCTCCCACATGGCCCATCCTCTCATGACGGTGCACCAGGGAACCGGTCCTTCCATTACATTGGCCGACCGGTCTAATCTCACTTGACCAGGCCCTTCTCATTGTTTTTCTTATTTCTCTCTTTTTCTTTTCCATACCAACAAGAGGCCACCCTGTAGTTTTCCATATCATCCATATCATATCATCAGGTGCACACGAGGGCGCCGATCTCCCATACATGGCCGACGGTATCGAAGACCGCCCTCACAAAACCCATGGTGACCTACTTCATCCCAACTCCACACAAACAAATCATACCATTATCACATCACAATTAATCAAGCACTGCAATTAAATATAAGCATAACAAACAAGTAAATATCATGATGTAAGTGCATAATTGGACATTTACATTCAATCACAATTAAATAAAGGAGTAGTAATTTAACAATATAATATAATAATTGATTCTTGGAATAAATAAATAAATAATAAAATAAAATAAATAATAATATAATAATAAAAATTAATTATAACTTATATATGTATTAAGTTTAAAATTAAGTTAAAGAATTAATCTAATAAACCAATTAATTTAATTATTGATTAAGACTAACCTAGGTTCTATCGAAATTTCGGCGAAATCTCACCTAGAATTTGATCAAACCATAATTCAATAACAAATTTTCAAAGCCCATCTATCGGGCAATTTACATCGACTCATTCCATCCGTCATAACCATAATCATTCATATAACATTATTTATTAAATCATAAGCTAACAAAATTAATACCTTTATGTTAATTAGTTAAGTGCTTAAAACTCGTTTTTAACAACAACTAATTATAACATAACTTCTACTTATTTAGATTCGACCATCTAATTATCTAACTAATTAATTCCAATTCATCCTTCATGTTTCGATTTATGACAATTATTCCAAAATGACTTATGTTCTAGATTTTCAACATTAAGTGTATATAATTAGATCGAATAGTGATTTTTAATTTCGTACTCAACCTAATATAATCAAAATTTCTAAGAATTAAATACTAAGTTCGAATTCTCCTAAAAATCCCCCAATTAAATTCACAAGCTTCCAACTTAATATTTCAAAGTCCTTCGATTAAATATCTATTCGAAATTAACTAAATTAACCAATAAATTTAAATTTAAAATTTATACCCAAAAATGAAAAAATAGATCTTAGGACGTACCGGTCGAAAATCAGGCAACCATGCCACGAGCAGCGCGAGAAAAGGAGCATTCTGCCTCTAAGGGTCTCGCCGTCCAATCGCTGGACAACCGTCGCCACTGCCGCCATGCACGATGGTCGGAATGTCGAACTTCACCGGAATCGCGATTCTCACACCATCATGCTCGAAATTCTATAAAGAGCTAAACGGCGTCAATTAATGGCGTTACTGCCTCAGTGGGTCGGAAATAGCTCCGACAGCCGTTCTTCCTCCTCCGCGCACGATTGCTCCTCAAAACCTCGGTGAAATTGCTAATTTATGGAGGGGATTTACTCACAGTGCCGCGGAGAGTCGATTGGCGCTTCTCTCTTCCACTGGGACTGCCGGAAACGGTGTGGGTCACCGAAAATTGAAGAAGAGAACTGTCGAGAGGGAGACAGCTTGGTGTCGCGCCCCAGCAGCCCCATTCGGCGTGAATGATGGCCGGAATGTGACTGACGGCATGAAGGAATCTCGATCGCCACTTGCTTTCGTCGTGCGGTGGCTGGAAAACGAGGAAGGGAGAGCGAGAGCGGCGCTCGCACGCCCGCGCGAAGAGGAACAGAAAAAAAAAAAAAAGAAAAGAGAAGGCGGTTCTAGAGAATTCTAGGCCATTTCGGTTCGATTCGAACCGGTTTGGTTCTATTCAAAGATTTGGCCCTATTTTAGTTGGTTTTCGAGTTTTTCGCTTGGTTTTTAAAAAATTCAGGCTGATTTACCTGTCTGATTTAGTAATAATAAAATATTTTTCCATTGATTTCATTGGTTAGGTTTTATGATTATATTTTTAAATGAAAAATTTTTGAAAAGGATTTCCCCATATGTATGTATATATAATATTTTTATAAATTTTAATTTCTTATTACACAATCAACTTTCTAAATTAAATTTTCTAAATTTTAATTATAATGTTTTGTAACAATAATTATTATATTTTATTTATTGGCAAATATAATCACCTTTATTTATTCTATTAATGAAATTAAAAGTTTTAAAAATATTTTCGTGAATCCATAGATTTAAAAAGAATATTTTACCAATCTATATATCTATATATATTCGATCCAATTCTTATTAGTCAAGCCCAATAAAATAGGCCCAAATGTATATTAGCAAGCCCATATAATAGGCCCAAGTGGTCTCAATAATATTTTGCATAAAGAAAAAGATAAAATTATATTATCATCATCACCTTCACCTTCACATGGCAATAGTGCAATTCATGATGATATTCCATTATTAAAGTCAAAAGATAAATCAAAGAAAAGAAATGTGAAGATAAAAGATGAAGATAAAAAGAAAAAAGTAAAAAGAAGGACAACTCATCGTCCTCATCTTCTTGTAAAAGGCAGAAG